GGCGAAGAACAAGGCTCTGGGAATTGATGGAATACCCATTGAGATATTTCAACAAATGGATGCCCCATTGGAGGCACTCACTTGGTTATGCCAAGGGATTTGGAAGACAGCTACCTGGACAACTGACTGGAAGAGATCCATATTTTTACCCATTCCAAAGAAAGGTGATCCCACAGAATGTGGAAATTATAGAACAATATAATTAAAATTGCACACAAGTAAGATCTTACTGAAGATAATTCAAAAACATTTACAGCAGTATATTGACAGGGAACTTCCAGAGGTGCAAGCTGGATTCAGAAGAGGACCCGGAACAAGGGATATCATAGTTGTTGTCAGATGGATCTTGGATCAAGGCAAATACCAGAAAGATGTTTACTTGTGTTTTTGGTGTTTACTATGCAAAGACATTTGATTGTGAAGATCATGACAAATTGTGGATAACATTGACAAGAATGGGAATTCCAGAACACTTGATTGTACTCATGAGGAACCTGTACCTTGACCAGGAGGCTGTCATTCAAACGGAACAAGGGGACACTACATGGTTTAATATCAAGAAGGGAGTGTGTCAGGGTTGTATCTTTTCCCCACACTTACTCAATCTATATGCTGAGCAAATAATCTGAGACATTGTACTATATGAAGAAAAATGTGGCACCAGGATTGGAGGTAGACTCATTAACAACCTGAGATACACAGACAATAAAACTTTGCTTCCTGAAAGTGAGGATGACTTGAGGCACTTACCAATGAAGATTGAAGAATACAGTCTGCAGTATGGATTACGTCTCAATATAAAGAAAACAAAAATCCTCACAACTGGACCAATGAGCAGCATCACAATAAATGGAGAGAAGATTGAGGCTGTCAAAGAATTCACATTGCTTGGTTCTACAATCGATGCAAATGGAAGCAGCAGTCAGGACATTAGACGACATATAGCATTGGGAAGTTCAACCATGAGGGAACTGTTTCAAGTGCTGAGGAGCAAGGATATCTCCTTGAGGACTAAGGTGCACCTGACACAAGCCATGATATTTCCAATCACCTCATATGCGTGTGAGAGCTGGACAATGAATAAGGAAGACCAAAGAAGAGTAGATGCTTTTGAGTTGTGGTGCTGGTGAAGAATGCTGAAAGTACCACGGAGTGCTAAAGGATCTAACAAATCTGTCCTGGAGGAAGTGCACCTGAAATGCTCCTTGGAAGCGAGAATGGCCAGACTTCATCTCACCTATTTTGGTCATATTGTCAGAAGGGACCATTCCCTGGAGAAGGATGTCATGCTTGGTAGGCGGAGCATCAACAAAAGAGGGGGAGGCCTTCAACGAGATGGATTGACATGGTGGCTACAATGATGGGCTCAAGTATAGCAGGGATCATGGAGCTGGCACAGGATGAAGCAATGTTTCATTCTGCTGTGCATGGGGTTGCTATGAGTTGGAAATGACTCAACGGCACCTAACAACAACAACATCATCATTGCTATTCATTGGCCAATTTTTTTGAGAAATGGATGGTCCCTTCCTTCTTTTGAGTCTGTCTTAGTCTGGTAGCTCTGCTGAAACCTTTCCACCATGGATGACCCTACTGGAATTTGAAATACTAATGGCTTAGCCTCTAGCCTCAGAGCAACATGCAAACCACCACAGTACAACAAACTGACAGATGAGTGCTAGGGAAGACTCATTAACAACCTGCAATATACAGGTAACACAACGTTGCTTGCTGAAAGTAAAGAAGACTTGAAGTCCTCAATGAAAGTCAAAAACTACACCATTCAGTATGGATTACACCTCAACATAAAGAAAACAAAATTACTCCCAACTCGACCAATAACAATATCAAATAAATGGAGAAAGATTGATTTTGTCAGGATTTCATTTTATTTTGATACACAATCCACAACCAAGGAAGCAGCAATCAAGATAAATTCAGTATTACATTGGGCAAATCTTCTGCAAAAGACTTCTTTAATATGTTGAAGAACAAAGAGGTCACTTTGAAGACTAAGGTGCACGTGATCCTAGCCATGGTATATTCTTTCTTTTTTTTTAAATTGTGATTTGAGTGAAAATTTACAGAGCAAATTCACTTTCCATATAGCAGTTCACATACACTTCGTCTCATGACATTGACTACAATTTATCACAATGCAACAGCTCCCCTCCCACTGTGTCCATCCCTCCATGCACTCCTGCCCCCTGAGCTGTCTCCCTTTGCATAAGCAGCCCTTCTTTCTCCCATAATTCTTCTCTCCAAGGAGTGTATCTACTTCAGGTAAATGTTCAACTCATATGCCTGTCTTTTGTTTGTCTGGAAGCCATAGGTATGGATTCAATTCCAGACCTAAAGGGCAGCTAGGGGCCATAGTCTCAGTGGTTCCACAAGCCATGGTATTTTCAATAGTCTCACGGACATGTGAGAACTGGACGACGAATAAGGAAGACCATGGAATAATTGATGCATTCGAATTGTGGTGTTAGCAAAGATTACTGAATGTATCATGGAGTCTAGAAGAGTGAACAAATCTATTTTGGAGGAAATACAGCCAGAATGCTCTCTAGGAGCAAGAATGGCCAGACTTTGTCTCATATTTTGGTCATATTGTTTGAAGGGACCACTTCCTGGAGAATAACTTCATGCTAGATAAAGTAGAGGGTCAGTGAGAAAGGGGAAGACCCTCAAATCTATGTATTGACCCAATGGCTGCAATGATGGACTCAAGCATGGCAATGAATCTGAGGATGGTAAGGGCCAGGAAGTGTTGAGTTCTGTAGAACACAGGCTTCCTGTGAGTTGAAACCAACTTAACAAGAACAACAAGTATTATTCATGATACAATCAAGCATTATTCATGATACATTTCTTTTTCAATGTAAATTTAATTAAATTTTGAAAAAGTCTATGACTTAAATATCCAAAAGAATTATGGTGGAGAATCACTGTTCAGAGATACTTATGAGAAAAATTCTATACTGCAGACTATGCAGAAGAAAATAAACTTTGTTTGAACTTTAAGTCAAAATTGTACTTGGAAAATCACCTTGCTCCTCTATGGGAAAAGGTCTTAGACATCACTTTCCAGGAATATCTCTTTAGAAAAAAATATTTAAAAATGCAAAATAGTGGTTCACACCTAAGTAAAATTAAACTTGGACTCTTAATCTACTGACAGTTGGAAAGGGAACTTTTCTCCCAATTGCCTGCTGTATTAAAGCCGACTTTGGCTAATCTCTATTTATAAATTGGGCTTCTTCTTGCACTTAACTCACACGCTGCAAAAGTAGCTTTTAATTTGGCAGAAATTCCTTCATATTTACATTAACTATGAACCACCCATGCATGCCAGAGAATTAGTTTCCATTTGAACCACCTGGGAGATTATTTGAGCTGAAAAGCATCCTTAACACTGGACAGAAATACTTTTGCTTGCGTAACACTGCAGAGGACGATGCCGAGCCTGGAAACAGATCTGGACTCTCACACACTCATGTTACAGAAGGAAAGAGTGTGTCAGTTTCTCCACAAGTGGCTGGCGAATGGGCCCCTAAACAAGTGGCTGGGGGAAGGATCAAGCTGAACTGTGTCCTGACAGATGGCATGGTGAGCTCAGATTTTCCAGTCTTGTCAGACTACAAACAGGCACCATTCTGCACCCCATTGCTTGCTCACTCAGGGAGCTCTACTTACACACAGGAGGGTGTCTGCTCCGCCACCACGAACCTGCATCTCCCTTTGATGCAGTAATGCTTGTACTGCTTAGGGCACCTAGAGAAGTGACCTCTCCGCTTTGATTGTGTGGTTGTAGCTGAAAAATGAGAAAAAGTTCAATAAATCAACTCACTTACATACATATTTGTAAGTAGTATCATATTCCTATCTTTACTACTAGATTTTTCTTTTTCTAAAAAAAATATTTTCCTATTTCTCATATATCTTTCCCTCTACACTAGGATAGAAGACTTTTGTAGCCCCAAATTGTCTGTGAAGAATTGGTAATGTGGGTTGTGGTGGGAAAGCTTCATATTTTAATTAATTAAGACATGTCTTTACCTTGCTAAAACCTTCTTTGCTGAAATATTGGCATTGTTGAAAGAGTGAAATACATGTATGGTAAGAGAAAATGTCTTTTTATTTTATTTTTTCTTTTTGTTGGGAAGCTTATTGGAGCATTGAACGTAAGAGAAGAGTTTTTGTTTGTTTAGTTTCCTTTATAGCTTAAACACTTACATAGCACTTACTGAGTATCAGATGCTGATCTATATATTTGACAGGTTAACTTGTTTAATGCTCTTAACAGTGATGCCCAGGTGCCACAAGTGGTTTGTGATTGGCTGCTAACCCAAAGGTTGGTCATCTGAACCCATTCAATGACTCTCTCTGGCAATCTGGTTTTGTAAAGATTACAGCCAAGAAAACCCTATGAGGTAGTTCTACTCTGTAATACATAGGGCTGCCATGAGCCAGGGTCTGACTCAATGTCAACTAACAACAGCAACAATGTTCACAATAGCTGTGAGGTTGTTGTTGTTGTTGTTATGTGCCATCGAGTGGGATCTGACTCATAGCGACCCCTCCTTGGATTGCTGAGGCAGTATCACTACGGAAGTAGATTGCCCAACCTTCCTTCCGAGGAGTGGCTGGTGGGTTTGAACCGCCAGCCTTCTGGTTAGCAGTCAAGTGCCTTAGGCACTATGCTACCAGAGCTCCCAGCTGTGAGGTTGTTGTTGTTGTTGTTGTTATGTGCCGTCGAGTCGGCCCCGACTCATAGCGACCCCTCCTTGGGTTTCCGAGGCAGTATCACTACGGAAGTAGGATTGCCCAACCTTCCTTCCGAGGAGTGGCTGGTGGGTTTGAACCGCCAGCCGTCTGGTTAGCAGGCAAGTGTCTTAGCCACTATGCTGTGAGGTTAGTATCGTTTTAATTCAAATTCTTTGTTTTACACATAAACAAAGCAAAACACATGGAGGTTAAATAACCCCCCAAGTTCACACAGCTAGTAAGTGGCAGAAGAGGGACTCAAACCTAGCTGTCTTGCCTTAGATTCTATGCTCTTGACCACTTCATTCTGGCACCTCTGACTAGCCAGCTGTTCCGCCGGTATCTGTCATCTACTCACAGCCCGATGTGCACAGTAGTCACATTTGTGTGAATGAAGAAGCAATGAACTGGAAGCATCAGGCCTGGGTTTCAGTCTTGAACTGACTTCCTTGTCTTACCTTCTTAGAGCCATGATTTTCTCATTTTTCATCTAAGGACAGTGATAGGTGACAATTCCCCATCACTCACATATGTAAAGTTTCAATAAATAATATTATCAAGAAAAATAGTACAGGAATACTAACTAGCTGTTTCATCTGTTGCTTCACAACCAATGTTTATCCACACCCAGAGAAAACACTAAGTAGTCATGTCCTGTCCAGGACCTGACTTTCCATGTTCATGACACAACCAATAGCATGTGGAACTCAGACACCTGGGAAGCCAGATAGACCAAAAGGTGTTCATTTCAGAAGGGCGATTTCACACTCTTTGGTCTAGCACCCAGTATCCTAATGACATTAAAAATTTGTTTTATTAATAGCAGTGACTACAGAACTTTCTAATTAGTATTATGAAAAGGATATATGTGATCTCTCAGGACTACCAGAAAGAGGGCTCTCAAAGGACTTTGAACGATCTATGCAAAGCAAATTCCTGTCATGCCAGGTACAGAGTTACGGAGGGTAGCAGAATGCTGCTGAGAAACCGGCTGACCAGGTTTCAGTCAGTGACTTGATTACCAATTACGCTGACTGCTTGTATGGGCCAGACATTTGCTTCCATGGATGCCAATCATTGGGACTCTTATCAGAAGGACTGAAATTTCTCCCAGAGGTACCTGCAAAATGTGTCAAGGCAAATAAATATCTGTACTTTGGCAAATAAATTGATCAGTTAACTACTATTTTTGAATATTTTCAATTTCCATAGTCCTGGTGCAGGTGTTGAAAAAAAATTAAATGGTGCAACAGAACATATTAATAGCAAAGTGAATAAAAAAGAACATGGTAATTGTATAAAGAGTTGTGATGCACTGGGAAGTAGAAAGAATAATGCATTAGGTAGGAATAAAGAAACTAGTGGTTAATTTGGAGCTTTGGCTTTAATTAGCTGTGTGAATGTGAGCAAGCTAATTAAGCTCTCAGCCTCTGCTTCCTCATCAGTAAGCTGAGTATAATAGTATCCACCTATAAGCACTACTGGCAGGCTCAAATATATATATATATATATTATATATATATATATAATATGTTCCTAGCAGTGTACCTGAGACCGTAAAGAGCTCAATAAATGAGTTGATTCTAGAATGTGGAAATTCTTGGCCACCTTAAGAGAAATCCTGATAGGTATTAAGAGTGCTTAGCTGATGAAAGACACATTTCTGGAAAAATTGGAGGAGGTAAGCAAAAATTGAGTTATGAAGAATGTCAAGAACAAAGGTATGTCAAAAAATGGACATCTAGTGTAGAAAGTGGTAGAGAGATTTCATAGAAATGAAAGGATCATGAAGGAAAGCACCCAACTTCAGGCTGAGAATGAGAGTTAAAAACCTCAAATGTCAGTAGGCTGAAGTACTTATATTTGAAATATATACAAGACAGAAGAGAACTGATGAAGACTCTTAAGGATTAAATCGAACAAATAAATAGATAACAAAGTTCATTGCTCTCAAGTCGATCTGACTCATGGGGAGCCCGTGTATCACAGAGTAGAACTGCTCCATAGGGTTTCCTTGGTTGTAATCTTTACAGAAGCAGATCACCAGTCCTTTTTTCTGCCATGCTGCTGGGTGTGTTAGAGCCACCAACTTTTAGGTTGGTAGTTGAATGCAAACTGTTATGTGCCACCCAGGGTGCATGCAAATGATATTCTTTAAACTACGAAGTGCTGCATCAAATTATTAGGAGAGTTCAGGTTGGATTAGAGTAGGAAGATGCTGAGGGCAAGGAGAAAATAGGACTTACCTGAGCCAAACAGATACATGTGATGTGGGCCTGGGCCAGAGTCATGAGGGGCAAGGAGATGAATTTGAGAAGTAGCAAGATTTAATGAGAGACCTGATGAGTTCCAGAAAGGCTTTTCCTTTTCTTGCTTTTCAAAACATCCCTGCCTTTAAATATAAGCCATATCACTTTGTCCTGAAACTTACTTGTCTATCTAGTTACTATGACCCTTTAAATATAGCTGGTCTTTTCATAAACACCCTACAGATTGTGACACCCAAAAGCTCCTTAACCAGCAGCTGCTTGATGTAGTGATTTGATCAGTCTCAGTTCGTCCAAGCAGCACAAATTCCTGCCAGGAAAACGGTTGCCAGGCCCTGTTTTGATCCCTCACAGAGCTCCTTCCTTGGTCAAATAAGCATGTGCTTAAATATTCCCAGCATTATTTGGATTTTAAAACCCTTCCAGGCCACCAAGCAAAAAATGCCCAGTGATTTCTCCATGGAACTTTAAAACCTAGAAGAAAAATAAATCACATAGACTGTCATAGAAACACAGATGGGATCCTCTCCTCCTCTCTCATGGTAAAGAGAGTTTATCAACATTCTCCCCTTGCAAACTGCAACTGAAATTCCACTTGCTTTTCATCTAGTATTCATCAAGGTCACATTATTAGAAAATTGAACAAACTGTGAAACCTAAAGTTTGCTGCCTATCATGAGACCTAAGGACATAGGGGAGGGGATGGCAAAGTCTACCCTCCTATTCCAGAGATGTTTATCAAGAAAAAGGAAAAATTAATCCCATGGCAAAAAATGATCAGTTCCATGTTTGTGTTTCTCTTTTGAGAACTGAATGGCTTGAAAATATAACAAATGCAATTATTTTTCCTCCCAGTTATCTTTTTATAGCCCACATCTCAGAACCAAAGCATTCCTGTGGGAGTAAGTTTGTCCCACAGAATTGCATGACAAACTTTATCAACTAGTGGGTCATGCAGCATCACCAAAAAAAGAAGAAAAACAAAGTCATTACCATAGAGTTGATTCCAACTTATAGTGGCCCTCATTGGGTTTCCAAGGTGGCAGATCTTTACAGCAGATTGCCTTATCTTCCTTCTACAGAGCAGCTAGAGGGTTTGAACTGCCAACCTTCTGGTTAGCAGTCAAATGCCTTAGGCACTGTGCCACCAGAGACCCTGGCAGCGTACAGCAATGGAATCTCTTGAATTGATGGCCACTATAGATAATAACAACATAGATAATAAATGTCAATCTCTTCATGGGACACTATTTTAGAAGGATTCCAAAAGCTAATTAAAGGAGAGTCCACTAGGTTTACTAAAGGCTACATATGTCAAAATCTGATTCTAAGCCTTGTAAAAGAGATGGGAAGCCAGACAACCTCCTCGGATAATATGAATAGTTAGACAAGAAGTAGGAGTCCCTAGGTGGTGAAAACTGTTAACATGTTCCATCAGAAGTTCAGAAGTTCAAATCCACCTAGAGGCCCCACAGAAGAAAGCCTTGTCAATCTACTTAAAAAAAAAAAAAAAAAAAAAATCAACCACTAGAAATCCTGTGAAGCATAGCTCTACTCTGAAACACATAAGGCTGCCATGCATTGGGATAGATACAAAGGCAAGTTCTATTTTTTTGGATGAAAAGTGGTCAATTCTTCTAGGCTAAATTAAAGTGGAGGAATGGAACAGACACCCAAATGACTTAATTTTGATATGGAATTGTCCTCACTTTGATGGGTGTTCTGATTAAATATGGTGACCCATGTGTGTCAAACTAGAACTATGATCCACAGGTTGTCA